AAGTTCCAAATACCTCAGGTATGCTTTAGGCTTGAACCCCATGGCCAAAGCATTCTCCACGCACATGATGAGAACAGCAGAGGCACCATCGGTCTGAGAAAACACAGAGAAACACGTCATTTATTTACAGCCAATGGATACTAAGGCTTAAGATGTTTGTCTAAAGGACTGAAAAGATGGTAAAATAGAGATACAGTGGAAAATGTAAAAATCTAATTAATTTAGAGTCAATAACCCTGTTTTTTTTTTTTTTTTGTCGTTTTTTTGTCCATGACACATAAATTATTTCTATCCAGGAAGTATATCTGAAGCTAGTGTTTACCAGGAAAGACGAGTTGGCAGCAGTAACAGTGCCGTGAGGCTTGACAAAGGCAGGCTTTAGTCTGGCCATTTGCTCCATGGATGACGGACGAATGCCATTGTCCTTGGATACAATATCCCGCCCTGGAAAGAAAAAAAAAAGAACATGGTTAAAGCTGAAGCAATGTTTTAAAAAAAAATACATTAATTCATATATTAAAATGTCTCACCATTTGTTTTTAACCTGCTTGTTTGTAATGTTTTGCAGGCAGAATTTATGTCATTTTTAAAGTGTTAATTTATATATCTAAAGGGTTTGTTGCTATGGTAAACAGGCTGCTAAACATTTTCTACATTAAAATTCTTTTCATTTCCAGACTATGAAATTAATGATTTATCTCCCTCTTAATCATTCTGACCAGCTTGGATCAGACCTTAAACCATACTGCGCTTTTTTAACAGTTCACATCTCGAATGAATTGTCCATACCTCACCTTGATTGCAAAAACCATTTTCAGTTAGTAGAAATAATAAAATGTTGAAAAAAGTTGAAGGTCTTTGCTTGATATTAAGGCTAAATCAAGTTTGAGAAAAATCGTCGCTGTTATCTAGTAAGGTTTAAAAGTTCAAAAACAGTGCAATCGTGTATTTTTATTTATTTTTGAGTAAGCATTTGGGAGTTTTGTCAATCAGCAGTTTAGAAACCAAATGAATACATAACAAAAACTCCAGACGTGGAAATTCAAAGAGGAACTGCATTTAAACATAATTTAACATGAGAAACACTCAGAAGCATTTTAATTTTCTAGATAAATGAGAAAGAGATCGACTCTCCTAAAGTTTTGCATTAATTTAGAAACTATAAATGAATGCAATACTTTATTTTTTGTTTTCAAGACACAAACTGTTTATTAAGCAAATCATCAGGATTTGATTTAGACCAAGGTTTTTTCCTACGTTCTACTATTGTATAAATGAAATGCATAAACTAAAACTGAACTTTTTAAATGTAAAAATGGTTATTAAAAATATAAGAATCAATGAGTAGTTATTGTATTTCTAGATCCACTAACTGGCAAGTTTGCTATGAAGGATATAGGATTTACCTGGAACTTTAAAGGAAATCACATCCTCTAGCAGCCCGTTATCCTGAGCTTTTTTGGCCAGTGAGTGCGACCGCAGAGCGAACTCATCCTGCTCCACCCTGGAGACCCCAAACGCAGCAGCCAGACGATCTGCACTGTGGCCCATAGTCTCCGCTGTTGAGAACTCAGCAACAGCAGGAAGCTGCTCACACACAACCAACACCATTCATACTGTGTCACAGAAAAACAAAACAAAAACAAACTTTGAGGTTTGAATCAAAGTAAATGCTCACCTCTGGGGACAGGTGAGCTAGCCGGATGCTGCCGAGCAGACTTAGCCTTTGGCCGATGGTTTTTGCCTTGTTAAGGGACAGCATTGTCTTCCTCATCTTTCGGCTGTGACGAATTGGAACATCAGACATGAACTCAACCCCACCTGCTACAACAGCGTCACACTGGCCGGCAGCAATCAGTCCAACGGCTGGAGAGAAGAGAGGAGGAGATCAAAACGGGTAGCATTGGAAATGACCACCAGTTAGGAGAGGAAAAATGAATTACATTTCCTTTCCTCAATATTTCCACCTTGTCAAGAAAATAAGGAGCTTTGCGAGAAATAAATTGCAAGACGCTACATTTTTCTAGTAAATAATAAACATCACTCATGGTTAAATACCTGAGGTCATGGCTTGGTTGGAGGAGATGCAGGCCATTGTGACGGTGTGGGAAGGAATCTTGTCTGAGAAGCCGGCCCCCAATGCTGCCTGAAAAACAAGGAAAAACACTTTACTCTGATGGGTTATTCTTAAACTTTGGCACAAGAGCAAACTGGTTTAGCAAGTATGTCTGATGTACCTCTCGAGCCACGTTGCTGGTTTTGACCTCCTGGATGACTGTCCCGTATATAAGGTAATCTACAGCATCCTTGGGTATTCCTGTTCGGTTCAGCAGACCCCTAAAAAAAAAAACAGTTAGAGAAAGAGATGCATGAGGTACGGAAGAGGATTAGGGCCACTGAAAAAAAAAAAANAATGTATGATAATTTTTCTTTCACTGCTGCAAAAGATATTTCACATTTTTTTTAAATATTCCAGAGGTTAAAATTCTAAAAATTTATTTAACATGAAATTTAAGACATGCATAGATTAAAAAAAACATCACCAAGGTTTTTATGTTTATTTTCAGAGGCCAGATTAATGACATCAAAATTGAGTGACTGACTAAAAGCAGTTATCTTTTCAAACACTGGTTCAAAGACGACTAACTCTGAAAGCAGAACTTTTAACGCTATTCAGGTAGTTTTGTTTTGATATTGAATCCATCCTATTGTACTTCTCCTTATTCAATACATGTTCATAACTTATAGAATACTGTGATCAGCTATCAAATACAGCAATGAAATCTAATGGGACAAATACATAAAAAGATTGGAAAAAAATCTCTGAATGCACAATTACATCAAAATCAAATGTTTAATCACAAATATGCAATAATAAAAAACTTTTAATTAATTAAAGTTAAATTGTTATTAAACAAATGAAATAAAATCCAGAATAAAACTGACAGCACACCAAAGTAAATACATTTTGACAAAATCATTTCAATAGGAGGAGGCAAGTCCATAACGAACCTTACAGGTAAGCAACAGTAGCCTGAAGTTAACTAAACTAAAATCACCCTGATTTAAAGACCTACTATTCCCCCAGACGAATTTTAAAAAATACCATCAATGTTGGTTGGTGATAAGTATGAAGATGTTAGGAGGGGTTTTAGCAGGAGTTGATCAAGATGTTAGAGCAAGCTTTGGACAGGCATACATTGTGCAATATTTCAAAGGTATAGAGGATGATTGTTTATTTCCAGGTGGATCATCTAAATAAGTGGTCCTCCTAATTGGCAATCATTCTGGTGATATGTTTAGGTGCTCGCAGGATGGCCTACAATAAAAAAAAAAGCATTTTCAAGTGGAAATATTTTAGTCCAGTGTGCTACTCAGACAGGGTAGGAACATTGAAACAAAGTTTACATAGTGGCTAAATTTCTTTCCTGCCAATAAAAATGGTCTTCGCCACTCTTTCAGGACGTTAATTTTCCAACTCGAAAAAATACTAATACAAAAAAATCCACTTCAGTTTATTACAAAACTTTATGTTTACAAAAAAAGGGAAAAGAAAGAGATGGTCCATCACATCTATAAATCAGTAGTGACAGTCAAACGTACAACTCAGAATGCACCGTTTTTATTTATAACTGTTGTAGATTCCTACATTTATTTATCTATATAATTGCTTAAATGTGCTTATTTTATCTTGTTTATTCAATATTTATACTTCAACGTATTTATAGCTATTTTTACTATTTCATACGTTGACATCGGAAGATTTCATTTAATCTTAACGTGGTGAAATGGCTAATAAAAGTCTTGAAAAAGGATGTTGAAATGTCCTTATTTCAATCATTTTAATATTTGACCGTGTTGATATTCTTCACAAAACAGAAAACAGGATAGGGATGAAAATGCTGAAAATGCTGTTTATTGCTTGATACCTAATTGTTGTGTAAGATAATAATAGAAATATCTATAAAAGTTTTAATAACAGATTAAGCACATCATCAACATAATGTAATAGCTCTTGTGTATCTATATTAAATGGATAATTTGGTATCCATCCTTACTGGAGCTTTTTTCAAAAATTAATGAAAAAGAAACAAAAATTGTTGTTTGTTTCTTTTAATATAGTGTTTAGGAGAT